CGAATTGGGTGCGATCCCAGCATGCGACTGTCGCCAACCAACCCGCGAGTGCGAGCTCGGAAATTTCTCGTGAACTGTGCTTGGAATTGCCCGGCCAATACGCGCTTGCCAGGGCGATCAGACGTAATCACGACGGACCAAAAAAGTGACAGCCAGCTGATACCACCGTCCACCTGACAATTTTGCATGCGCGCTGACCTGGGCATGAATCCGTACCCCCTTTTCATCCATTCTGTCTTATTATTTCGGTCCTATTCTAATCCTCGTATCAAGAACATTCGAGGCGTTTTCCTTATTTTATAACCAATGACGTAAATATTCAGGCTTTCCGCGTGATACGAACAGGTCCGTCCCAAATACGAAAACAGGACCCACGGTTCCTCAATCACCATTAACCAATGCACATTTCGAAATGTTTTTCTTAAATGGTTTTTTTTCACATTCGTGAAAGTGTGTGATTGGTTAACGAAACTGCTCAGGCGAGACGTCATAATTTCGTTACGCTAAGCCCATTTCGAGAGACCACGAAAAGGGTTTTTTTTCAAATTATATGATTTGCGCGTTTTGAGCCTGCGCTGCTTGCGGAAGGTCGAGAACGAGGTGTTACTTCTATTGTCCGCGGTAATTCAGACCAGACGACAATTTTGCTGAACGTTTTTTAAGAAGCCACATGAGCCCTCATATGACACGCGGCGAAGTCACTAGTAACTTGGCCCAAGGGCCAATACGCCAAGGCACCCATCGTGAACAGAAATAGTAAAACAGCCTACGCCATCCCACCTAAAACCGTACGTGCTACTCGATAATCCATTTTGCCCGTAGTGAACCGCTCTTATTCGTCGTAGTCCATATCTGCGAGTCGCGGATTTGGAGCATAGAGCATACCCTCTGTATGTCGTATTTGCTATGCCCTAGATCTCGTTATGGATAAATCGCGTAGGATCAAAACTCATGCAACGTCAACAACGAGATCGGCATCTTATCAAATTGCGCGGCACAATTTCGAAGTGCCCTATGCTGAATATGGCTGTTATCTCAAGCATCAAAAGACGGAAACGGGTGGAATCATATCCTTGTTCCCCGAGTCAGTCGCGTCTCGGTTCTCTCACAAAAGCTTCCCGCATCACTCATGTTTATAGTACGGGCAATCACACCCCGTTTTGAAGCACATGGTGTGCACTGTTTCCACTCAAGACAATGGCAAGTATGTGCTTGCCTGCCGTGACAAACCCCATTTGCCCGTCCAGCCTCGCCTCCAACCACTTTGCCAGGAGCTTGTGCGAAATTGGGCATCAACGTCGGCGGAGTCGCAACGAACCCACGGGCTAGTTTGAGGGCTGTGTTACCCTGCTTTATAATTCTGGCCAATTTCGGAAATTTCGTAATTAGGTGCAAGACATCGCAAAAAAAAAAAGAGGGGTTCCGGCTGTTGATAATCGAACAAATGTAGCCCCCTTCCGCCATCCCACCATCCCGCGTATGACAAAGAGGGTAACCCAGGAGCAACACTTACAGTCCCATATGCCCGTGGCGAGGTATGCGAAATGAAAGTAGCGTTTTCAGTCCCTGCCGCCCAAATACCTCAAGAGACTGACTCTGGCAACAAGGGTACCCGTTTCTCAAGTCCCGAATATCCTAATTGGCTTACAGACAATCCACGTGATGGGAAGTACGCGCGCGTGCGGGATGGTTTGCAATTTCATTTTGTTTGAGTGTTCACCTTCACCATGGTGTTTGACCGTTCGGCACCCGGGTCCACCCCGAAACCTGTTTTGGGGTGTAGGGAAATATTAATAGCGGCCGGTTACATGGGCAGTCATGTATTGTCAAATTTCGCTAAAAACAAACAAAACAACCTCGCCCAAAACATTTTACCATAACGAGATTTATGGTGTAACGAATTGCACTGTTACGTCCTTGTTTTATTACTTGACCGGACTTGTCCCCTCTGCACCACTCGCCCCTGTCGACTAGCCCATGGGTAGCAGGAGCTTCATTTTCCTGTTATTGGCGCTAAAGATAGGCGAAGAATTCCTAGCCAACAAGTCCTTGGAAAGCCCGTCCACGCAGTGGGCCTTTATCGTAATTTCGCGGTATCTACCCTTCTCGCGTAAGCACAGCTTCCCAACCAATGGGTTCTCGGAGACAGCGTTGGCGCTGTGCTTCTGTACGCTAACTGTGCCAACACTGTCCATGCTGGCGGAAATTGATCCCTGCCAGCGTGCAGCGGTTGATCCTGGCACCTGCTTACAGAATCGAAGCAGAGTGGGCGGGCAGATGCCAGCAAAGGGAGCCCTTCATTTAAGAGTAATTACTTTCTTTACACTATAGCTTAGCGCGGTGTTTGAATTGTATCCCGATCAGACATTAGCGCGGATAAATTCTCTGATGCAATCAACGCTGCACGAGTTCAGTACGCCCATCCCCCCCCACACCAACCCCCACCTCCCCCCCCACCCAGCCCACCCCAGCCCTACTCTGACAGATCTGCGCCTGCTGTATTGAGGTTCGAGAGTCAAGCAGGTGAGAAAGGAGAGAGAACACTTACACGAGGGTAAATAATGATGAAAACACTGATTCGAGCGAGTACTTCAAAATGAATCAATTAGCTTGACAAGAAGCCACAGTCAGAGTTTCCAACTACATGTTTGCCAGAGAGTGCGAGACTTCTGTGTACAGACGAAAAGAACAGAGTGTAGAGTAGAGAGCACGGCATGAACTGTACAGTACCGTTTTCTTCACAGTTACTTACCCGGTTTTGAGGATTCTGACGGCTGACTTTTCGGCCGAATCCGGATTCTGTTGGTCTCTCTCATAGTGAACCCATATTTATTGGGGTCTGGTACGGATTCACCGGACCTACTGGCAGATCCTTTCCCCCTTCCCCACGCCTCCCTCGTCCCCTCGAAGTATAACTTCCAGTGCTTCGACATGTTTTGCGCGTTTGAAAACTGCCGTAGAGCCGGCCCAACATTTAGCTTCCCCGTTTCTAGTGTCCAAGATAGCTAGATAACGAAACAGAGGGCTGAAAAGCTGGCTGCTTTTTGTACCCGAATTCACCAGTAGCTTTTGACAGAATATGGGTTGAACCAGAAACTGACGGGGCTCTAGCCAGATACCCGGAGCCATGTCCCGGAAAATCTTCACGTGAATCCTCGTTCGATGGATTCGCAAGGAGCTCTCATTCGCAAGAAGCCGTGTAATCAGGGGTTTCTGCTGACAGAGTAAATGCCCACTCGACTAATTTACGGGGCAAACATTTCTGACTTCCAGACCCCTAAAATCACGCGTCACAAAAATGAGGATTTCATATTCGTAGTAACTACTGTTGCTCGTAATGTGTGGTTACTCCGTGGCTGTCATAACTACTCTGTGCTCAGGTCATATGCGACTGCTGCGACAACGATAAGCACAACTATTCGCTAAGTGAGGGTACCACGGGTCAATTATTCGTTAAAAGATGCTTTGCGGAGTTTGCGTGTGTCGAATATGACCTGATGGTGGCAAAACCTCTTGCTTTCGAACTGGAGATTTTCCGCACCCGTGGCAATGTCGTACAGTATCAGGATTTGGAAGAGGGGGGAGGAGGTCGGAGATTGGGGAGGAATGGGATGACCCGTTCGTCGGTGTAAGAGTGTGTCCAAAGTACCCATCCACATTCGTCGACATCCCCGAAGTTGAGGCACCGATCCGGATACTTAATTTAGCCTACCATAAACTCAAGGCACCGTACTGAAACCACCATCCTCGTGCTCACCTTTCTTTGCGATGCCTTCTATTGTTCTTTTTCTGATAGTAACGTCAGAATTTCCATTCAACATATTATTTTTTTCCAGACTAAAACGATGTGGAAAAAAAAATCAGTGATTGTGGTAAGCGTATCCCCCCAACCCCCCCCCCCCCCCACCCCACCCGAAATCGCTGAATGAGTATTGGAAGTTTCAATTTCCTCTGGACGAAGGTGTAAGTCACGGGTATGCTCGAGCGTTGTAAGGTTGAACGATTTGTCAACTCCCAAACCGGCACAATTTACTGAGACTCGGCTGCGCCAGCAGTTATTTGCCGAAACATACAATTCAAGAGCACATTTGGTCCGAGACCTTGAAATGGAATATTTTGTAAACTGGGAGAAGATCCTTCGGTTCTGTTAATATCAGGAAGAAAGGTATACAGAATGAGAAACCACCTCTCTTGCCCAAACTTCGGTTGTCTTCCAAACTTCAGAACCCCATCTGAGTTGTTACACCCTAGCTTCCCCCAGCTGCATCTGGGGGACATTCCGCCACTGCCTGTCTGTTCTGGTCTGCACAATGTGCTGTCTCCAGCTGGATTTTCCCAGTGGGAAACCCGCCGGATTACTCATTGCAGCTAGTTGTCCGAGTTTGGAATCCACTTTCCAAACACCTCTGTAACAGTATTACCCTTGTCGCCCGAGTCAGTCACCCCATGTTTTTGGGCGGCTGGGACTGAAAGCGTCCCCGACACTTCGCGCACCTCGCTACGGGAAGTATGGGATTGTAAGTGTGCTGGAATGTTACCGCTTTGGCAGACGCGGATTGCGACGGGGGGCTGTTTTTGTACTTTTGAAAATACCAGGGGCTAAATTTGTACTTTCTGAATTTGTAGCTTCCCAAATACCCGGCGGACGAAATTTGACATGCTGTCATGGCTGGCAAGTTCCAATGCCGTTGTCTTCTCTGAGAACAGTGCGGGCCATGTTCTAGAAACGGGGGTGCGGTTGCCCGTGCTAGAAACAGAAGTGATGCGGGAAGCTTTTGCGAGTGAACCGAGACGTGACTGACTCGGGCAACAAGGGTATTGATTGACCGTAAAGGCGCAGTTTTTTTTTTTAGTGACGCCGAAAATGTCCCAAGTTTCGGAAACGCACTCTAGAAGGGCTCCCTGCGCCGTTCGAGATCTAATTTCGGTCGATGAGATCTTCCTGCAGCTCTATCACATGCGGTTTGAGCCGAAGCAGGGTTCTGCTCCATCCGTCCACTGAGCTCTTTTCAAACAGCATATGATCGTCCAAGCTGGAAGTTGAGCTTCAATTGAAGGAAATTCTTGAAGGATCCACTCCCCCCAGTTCCCAGTTCTCACCGCGAGGCAGCCTGACTTGATCATCAGCAGGCTACTAGGAGGTCCTAGGACTTTTATTACTAAGTTAGTACTAGTACTAATAGTAGTTGTCTGCCTGTCATTAACGGTGGCCCATCTTGTGGCTGACCCCTTGGATCAAATTACTACTAGAAACAGATGAGGTTTGTGTCAAGTTTGAGACCTAGAAAGGAGATGTCCACCGGCGCTACTAAGCAGAGGAGCAGGAGAATAGCTGGAGCACTTTGGACGACGGAGGTATTGTACCACCTTCGCTAAAACATGCATTGTGAAAAATGGTTTCATTTAAAAACCTTTCATTATTGCAATGGCCCTGTTTTTGAGAGTTGATTTGAACATTGCCATGGCTCGCGTGGTTACTGTTGGGCGTGAGCAGGAAGACAAGATCTTATTGGCCCACGTGGCAAAGCATGGGACACACAATTGGTTACTTGTCAAATCCATGGGCCTGCTGCCCACACGAAACCACAAGGCGTGCTGTAACCGCTATATTCTGCTCAAGAGGTGATTTCCACATGGTAGTACTTCCCTGCTATTTTATTGTGTGTTGGGTTTGCCGCTACTAGTGGCCTTTTAGAAGCGTCACCTGACCTGGCGTAGAGTTTAATGACTCATGCCATTGCTTCCCATCTCCCCCCATGTCTCATGTCACATCTCCATGTTTCATGTCGGTCATAATGCATCCAGGAAGCTGTCCAAGTTGGGTCATCGCACACCACACATGGACATGGCTGCAAAAGGGGAGATTTCTGCTGTGCCCACCACGCCTGCTGTGCCCACCATGCCCGCGGTGGCTGCTGTGCCACTGTTGACTGCTGTGCCAACGGTGGCTGCAGATGGTGGCTTGACACGAGACACTGCGAAGGCTGCGAAAGCTGGGATGGCTGCTGTGCCGACGGTGCCTGCGAATGTGGCTGCTGTGCCAACGATGCCCCGGGCGACTGGGACGGCTGCTGCGCCAACAATACCTGCGAATGCTGGAATGGGGACGGCGAAGACAACGCAGCAGACTTTAGATGAACGAGATAAATGTCTTTTTAGAGCCTCATTCTGTCATCAGCAGCACTCCTGCTGTCGTCAGCAGCAATTCACATCGTGTCATCAGCACCACGCGTCGTCTCAGCATCAGCACACGCGAAACCATCAACAATGGGACACGGAAGCAATCATGGCTGAGGGCAGCCCTCTGATGCGGGGGATGCAGAACTCAACCGCAGCTGCAAAAGCAGAGGGCTCGTGCACGAGAGCTTCAGGAGAGCCATTTGCATCTGCTACACTTGACCTTCAGATTGAATCAGCAACAACAGTGATGAGCCAAGCCAATATGGAGGATGAAGCAGCAGAAGCAGCCAGTGATGAGATGATGGTTGGAATTACAAGCCCAGCAGCAATGTCCTCACACTCCCTATGTGCACCCAAGTGTGTACACATTCCGACATCGCGAATTATCAGTTCAGCGCCAAAAGAAAGCCTTCAAACTCCACAGATGCACCTGTCAGGATCAGAGCATTGCCTTCCAGTGTTCCCCTCTCAACCGCTTCTCCAGGCCACATCCGAGTCATCGGCCTCGAAACTATTCGCTGCGCATCTTCTTCCCCCTCCTCATCGTACTGTTTCTCTTACTCTCCCTCCTATTCGCCCCCCTACTCTCGATCTTCCTCCTACTCGCCCTCCCACTCCTCCAACTACCCCCACTACTCTCCCACCTCCGCTCTCCCTTCCTCATGGGAAAGTGGACAACGGAACCTCATTTCTGGTCGCAGCACCTGCACAGGAATTGAAGGGTGTTGAAACCACATACTTGGTCGACTCGCCTATACAGGACCTGGAGGAGATTGAATCCTTCTTCTCGGGTGCCCTACCTGAGCAGACGAATTTGCAGATGCCTCAGCAGGTGCATCAGCAGGTGCATCAGCAAGAGAATTCTGCGGAGGGAATCAATGCCTACTGCAGTTTGCCAGTTGTTGCGAATCAGAAGCCACTTGTCTACCATGCAGCACAGGGTGCAGTCTCTGCTGACACCAGCCATAGGCATCAGCACGTACCTGCTGGGGATGCTGCTGCTAATGCGCCTCCTCCTCCCTCTGTTGATATGGCTCCTCCTCTCTATGCTGATGCGGCTCGTTTTCCTACTTCTCCTTTTGCGTATGCTCCTTCCCCTACTGCTCCTTTCCCATCTGCTCCTTGCCCCACGGCGCCTTCTGCCGCTTCTTCTCTTTCTGCCGGTGCAATTCTACTCGCCTTTGCTGATCTGCTCTCTGCTGCTGCCGTATCTCCTGGTCTACCTGGCCCGCGCTGTGCTGCCATGGCTCCGAGTGTCAGTTCTGATTGGCCGGCAGCCATCGACGCCGCCGCTTCAACCGCTGCCATTGATGGCGCGATTGCATCGCTCCTTATTCAGGCGGAGCTGATCAGAATCAACAATGCCCGGCTGCTGCTAGCTCCTATACCTCCAACACCCGCAACAGCCATTCAGGTTGCCCCAGCACCCTCTCCCCGCCACCCAAAAAACACAGCGCGCCCCTCTGCACCTCTCTCGGTCGCTCTTTTTGCCCCTCTTTCTATCCCTCTTTCCACCCCACTTACCACTCCTTCTGGCCCTTTTTCCGCCCCACTTTCTGCTTCACAGCCAACATCGCGGTCCAGAACACCCGTTCTTCGTATTCCACCTTTATCACTGCCACCTGCTGCTCCCCCCTCTGCTGCTGCGCCTCCTGCTGCTGCCGCTCATCAACCTTCTCCTCCTCCTCCTCCTACACCCCCTCGCCCTGCTGCTGCTGCTGCTGCAGCTGCTACGCCTGCCACTATCAGTTCACTGTTTCTCGGGCCATCTAGCTCTGCTGCTGTTGCTGCTGCTGATGGCCGTGCTCCTGATGACCGTGCTGCTGTTGCTGCAGCAGAGGTGCGGCTGAAGCCGGATGAGCTGTTTGAAGCGTGGTGCAATGGGCCCTTCACCAGGGTGAGTTATGGTACATGGCATGGCAATGGAAGGCAGGGCATTTTATGGCCTGGCATGATCTGGAATCGGATGGCTAGCATGGTTGCTGCTGAGGCCTCCAGGCGGTTATCAGCCCAGAAGTGCTGTTTGAGATGTGGTGCAGTGGGTCGCTCACCAGGGTGGGTTATGGCAGATGGCATGGCATGGTACGGTGTGGCGGGTACTCCATTGTGCTTCTAACCAGATGAGCTGTTTGTAGCATGGCGTAATGGTCGTTCTCAAGTGGGTGAGTACATGGCATGGCATGGCTTGGCATGCATCAAGATATTATGGCATCGCTTGATATCCAGTAGTATGTATGGGATGATGCCGTGTGTGGCGATCCAGCTGTTGTGTGCTGCCACAAATTGCTATTTATTGGTACATATTTCAGCATGTTGGTTGATTTTTCCATGGTGGCATTCCTGCATGGCAGGTTCTCCACAGCATCTGACCAGAGCTTTGAATCTCTGCCCATTCACGTACAACTAGATGGAGGTTTTTGAACGTGTTCCTCCACACCTTGGAAAAAGCTCATGTGGTCCTGTTGTGCAGTTGAATTGCCTGATTACATGGCCCGGCTCAGTTCAGCTCAGTCCGAGCCGACGCGAGCGTGCATGGTGCACTTGGGCTGTATCAAGGTTACCATAATTGTGCGGGATGGCATGTACCCTGCCCACTGTGACACTGTCCTTCAAAGTTAGAGTGCAATAGTAGCTTGGTTCGATTGCCTATGGTACCAGCCTTTTTGCAAAATGGCAATGCATGGATGACTTGTACATACCACCAGCAGTGGGCAAAATGTGTGGTTGATAAAGCGTGCCTCGTACCCCATGAAGTTGAGAACTAGAGCAATACAGAGGGAGTAACGAAGAGGAACAGAATGGAGTACAGCACAGGGCTCTGGCTTAAGTTTTTTGGAAGCCTTTATAGTCAGGTCAGGACTCAGGGTTCCTCCCAGGGCCTCAGATTGCTCAGGATTCCCCCAACCCCCTCCCCCCTGAATTTTCAGGCCTCCCCCCAAAAAAATCACTGATGTACCGTAATCCCCCGGATATAACACCCTATGGTGGATATGAAAATTCACTAAAAAAATGAGTGGGTGTTAACAGTGGCCTGGAAAAATATAACGCCCATGTGTTATGTAAAATGCAAAATGAATTCGAGTGTTACATGCCCTATTTGCCCATAAGGGTGCGGAGCAGCTGCTAACGAGGAAAAACAATATGATTTTCCTGTCTCCCCCACAATATCGTAACCCCCTGGCCCAACGGTTTCAGCCCCCCCCCGAGAATTTCCCCCTTTACCGACAATTTCGATTCCCCCTTCACTGACAATTTCGAATCCCCCTCCCCTTGAAAGTTTCGAATCCCCCTTCCCCCCACATTTTCGATTCCCTTCCCCCTTCCCCCCACGTTTTCGATTCCCCCTTCCCCCAAAATTCGATTCCTCCTTCCCCTCAATTCGATTCCCAACAATTCATTTCTGCCCGGTTTTTCCAGTGCTAACGGTTGTTGACGCACGATTTCATCATGCTCGCTTTTTGCAACTGAGCGGACCTTGTAACACAAGAACAAATTCAGTTTTCAAACGAATAAAATGAGGAGGGTGTTATGTAAAATTCGTCACCTGAAAAGCGGGTACTCTAAAAAATGCACCATATCATAAGCTCCCCCCCGTATTAACCACCCATGGAGTGACTATTCCGGCGGGTGTTATATCCGGGGGATTACGGTATCAGGGTTCACAAGTTTTCAAGTTTGATGCGAGTCAACATGATATGAGAGCTGGTCAGAGACCAAACTCCCAGCTACAACGCTCTATCTACGGTTAAACATATCAACAAGCTTCATCGATTAGAAGTCATGGACAACAAGGGCAAGAAGATCTCTACGGGTTCACCCAGCGCCCAAGACACTCAACCCGGCAACTCTGGACTACACACCTCAGGACTGCAAACCGAGACCGGCGCTGCTCAAGAAACAACAAGGAGGGCACTAGAAATGGTGACCCCATCACCCTCCTCAAGCGTGGACCCAACCTTATGGAAAGGTTCTTCAGCTTCATGTCGCACTTGGACCAGCAGCAGCAGACAAGGACACCTGCACATTCAACACAGAGCAACGGAGGAAACATGGGATTAGCGCCAATGAGCCTCGACAACTCATCGTTCGGGCGACACAATCAAGCACCTACCTTTGCGCCTTATCACTCTTCACCGGGGACGTTCGAGTTCATGCCGCCCCGTGCCCAACCAACAGCAGCTGTATCACAACAGACACCAAACGAGATACTGAGTCTCCAGGCGCAGTTTTCACACGTGATCAAACTGCAGAAATCCTCACCGTTCAACGGACACAACTTTTTTACCTGGAGCTTCGAGTTCGAGCTGCTGATGGAGGCCGCGCATCTCTTGGGATACTTCAACGGGTCCCTGCCATTTCCAAGCAATGGCACTGCAAAGGAGCAGGAAATCTTCACTTATCAGTCGCTGCTGGCATACACAGTTCTCCTGCGGAACCTGTCACCACTGTTATAACCACAATAGGCTCAGATGTGCCTATAATGAGAGATAGAGAGCACAGTCGGATTTCCGTCAGACGGCTTCAAATATTGATAACGATCTGGTCTCTTACTCAAACGGTGATATGTAAGTTGGATCTGGAGCGCGTTGCTGTCGTCTATTAGCAGCAAGTTGAATCATGAAATTCCATGAAGATTTGACGAGGCTATGGTGGTTTGACGGGCAGGAGGTATAGCAGCCACTATTGTCTTAGAAGTACAAACTTAGCAAGAAGAATTCGAGATGGAGATGGTTCCCAGCCCCTACATACCCCAAGAGCCGAGGTCCAGGTTGGTGGTACACCACCACAGAGTCCCCAACCATGAAGAGTCTCGAAACAAACCCTCCAAGAGGCTACACCTAGTGAAATGTAACACTACACGAAGTAGCGTTACTATTCTCACTATTTAATATTTATCCGTGTCCCTTGGGCTTGAAATCTTGAGCTCTTGGTCTTGGTTCTGCAAGATAATTTCTTCTTGAGTTGATGGGGGCTTGGTGCACACACCTGCGACGTGATGGACACTTCATACTCGACAAAATAAAAAAAACACATGCGACACGCAAACGACGACTTGACATGCGAGTTGTAAAAACTCGCTAATGTCTTGACCAACACAAACCACATTGTGATTCACCATTCAAACATACACACAAGCACTAGATAGCAATGACATAGACTCACAATTCATTCCATGCCATGCATGCACACACACAAACAAGGACGACAAGCCGAGTGCAAGCCATAGGGTTGCACCAACAAACTCCCCCTCGGATTGTTGGCCTTAGAATCTGTCCCCCTTAGTTCAGAGCCATCCCAACAAGCTTGCAACACTTCCAATGTTGCTGCTCAACCAGCCTCTTGGTCATCATATCAGCTGGCTGTGCCGTTGTCTTCACGTGGTGCAACTCCACTTCACCCGAGGTTACCATGCTCCTCACCCAATGCCACTTCACCTTCATGTGCTTGGTAAGGCCATGAAGAACGGGGTTCTTAGCCAATGCAATAGCACCCTGGCTATCACAATAGAGTGGGGTAGGTCCTTGCTGCTCCTCCCCCAATTCAGCTAGCAAACGCCGCTGCCACACAACCTCCCTTATGGCACGGAAGAGTGCCATGTACTCAGTCTCCACCGAGCTCACTGCTTGGTCCACTTGCTTCTTGCTGTCTCAAGCTGTTGGGCCTCCACCAACACAGCAGATGAAGCCCCCCACACTTGTCATAACCTCTGGTTCTGATGCCCAAGATGCATCAGAGAAGGCGGTGAGAAAGAGCCTCCCGGGTTCGACTCCATCCGCACCCTTTTGACGCCTTTGTGCTGCCGCGGAGTATTGCAGTCCAACACTTGCTGTTTGGCAAAGGTACTTGGCCACCCTCTCTCCTGCTGCTACCTGCTCTTCATTAGGGCATTGGACAACCCTAGCCAGCTGCCCGGTAGCAAAGGCTGCATCCGGCCTTGTGTGAACGGCCGCATACATGAGGCTGCCCACCAAGGAGTGAAAACGACGCCTCTCCTCTTTACCGACACTTTGCTCTTCTGGTCCTTTCACACACTTGAACCCTGAGGGAAGAGGAGTAGCCTCATGAACTTCACTCTTCCCAAAGTTTGCAGCCAAGGCCTCCAAGTACTTCTTTTGATGCACTCGCATCCACTGCTTCTCCACATCTCGCTCAATGTGAAGCCCAAGGTAGTAGTTGAGGTCACCAAGGGTCTTGCACTTGAACTTGCTTTGAAGCTTCAGCATCACCTCCTTCACAAGGTCAAAGGAGGGTGAGAATATGAGGATGTCATACACATAAACCACCATGAAGCTCCTCTGCTCCCCCTCGCCAAGCATGAACAAGGATTGATCGGCCGTTGAGGGAGTGAAGCCGATCGCCTCCAAGACTTCCCGCAGCTTGATGTACCATTGCCTAGGGGCTTGCTTGAGGCCATAGAGTGCTTTCTTCAGCTTCCACACTCTGCTACTCCCATCATTGTACCCCGCTTGCTGCTCCATGTAGGTCTCTTCCTCCAAAACGCCGTTGAGGAAGGCCATTACGATGTCCATTTGCTTCACCACCCATCCTTTGATGGCCGCCGCGGCGAAGAGGGTTCGAAGGGTTGTACCCTTCACCACAGGGGCATACACTTCATTGTAGTCCTTCTTCTCTTGCTGCTGATACCCCTTGGCTACAAGTCTGCTCTTGTAGCGCTCAATGTTGCCGTCGGCGTCGGTCTTGCGCTTGAAGAGCCACTTGGAAGAAATCGCCTTACGCCCCGGAGGTAGGTTCACCAAGTCAAACGTGTCGTTCTCGATGATGCTCCCCATTTCTTCATCTGAGGCCTTCTTCCACTCCTTCCCATTGGGGCCCTCCCAAGCCTCCTTGCGATTTGTAGGCTCCCCCGGTATCTCCACCAGAGAGAAGAAGGAAAAAACGCACTCCTCGCTTTCATCTTCCGCATCATCGCCTAGCATGAGAGCCGAACCGGTCAAGGTTGAGTTGGCTAGTCCTCCAAGCCGTTCATAGCTCAACCTATTGGGGGGCTGAGTCCTCCTTCTCCCCCTTCCTTCCTCCTCTGCTGCAGGGACTTGAATGCTCTCATGGCTTTGCGGTAAATCCGGTCGGTTCCCGCGAGCACTTGTAGCACGAGGCAGAAGTGGCGGTGCACGCTCATTACCTTGTTGCACCTCCTCCTCCTCCTCCTCATCCCCATTCATTTGGGGAGATTGCCTCGTGATTGTGCTGCTGCTACTCAGCTCCAAGGGCAGCTCCACATGCTCCAATCCGGTCCTCTTCACCTCTCCAAGCCGCACACCAATCTTCGCTTGGTTCTCTGCCTTCCACTCCTTGTACGGTAAGTTCTCCATGAACTTGCAATCTCTGCTCACCAGGAACTTCTTGGTAAATGGGTCCCATAGAAGCCATCCCTTGCTGTTTTGGGCCATGCCCAGGTGCACGGCCCATGTTGCCTTGGCATCAAGCTTGTTGTGACGAAGTTTCTTAGGCACAAGTGCCATGCATATGCACCCGAACACCCGAAGCATATCCACCTTCGGCTTCCTTCCAATCCACTACACATAGGGCACCCATTTGTCTTCTCCCACATGAGTCGAGGCTTTGTTCTTGGCCACACAAGCATGACGCACCGCATCCGGCCAAAAGTAATTGGGAAGATCGGCTTCAATGAGAAGTCCCCGAGCCGTCTCCGTGAGTGTCCGATTCGCACGCTCGGCGATGCCGTTCAT